ATTCAGGTTGGAAGAACGGAGGGCGGACATGCATGCTGTCATTTGGAGGCTGAGATTCATATAACATATAGAAATGGGAGAAAAGACACATCTGTCATGTCTTCCAAACTGAGCTGAGGACATCTGCAGCTACTGCCACCATCTCGCTCTAGTACAACGGGAAAAACAGATGTAAAAATAGAAGTGATATATTCAACTATTAACAGTGAGGCAAAACTGAATATAGCAGTCTGCAGAAGCACTGACGTAGAACGGGAAATGGCTTCTTCTAGGGCAGGCTGTCCGCCTCGAGTGGACCACATGCCAATGAACTAAAGATGTTTCCACCAGCCATGTCAGCTCTGAGTTTTTAATAAGGGATTAGGAGGAAGAGAAAAGCGAGAAGGTTACAAACCGACTGAGAGCAAGTAATACCCTCCTGACAGAAAACTGAAGGAGCCCATTTGTTCAGAGGAAAACGCCTCCCTGGGAGCTCCTCACTCGCCACGTGAATTATCTTATCTTTATCAGATTAATGAAGAGGCTGCACAGCTGTGTGCAGAACAGGTAAGAATTTTAATAATGAAAGTACTGGATGAGAGGAAAAAGATAGCATAAAAAAGATGAGGAAGATTCTAGACCCAGAAAATCACTACCCTGGTTCCTGTCAGTGTCACTGCTCCTCTACTTGGGGCATGCTGAGAACCCATTCAGTATATTCAGCAGGGCAATTCAGTAGACAGTCTTTACCACTAATATCCATTCATGAGTGAATTGCTTAGATGGAGCTTTTTTGTTGCTGTTTGAAATATAATTCATGCATCATAAAACTCACTCTTGAAAGGTATATGCTTTAGCATTTAGTATTATTCACAAGGTTGTCCAACCATTACCACTGATTCCAGAACATTTTCATCACCCTAAAGAGAAACTCCATACTCATTAGGAGTCACCTTCTGTCCCCTCCCAGCAACCATCGGTTGACTTCCTGTCTCTGTTGATTTACAATACCTATTCTGGATATTTCATAGAAATAAAACCATAATATGTAACCTCTTACGCCTGGCTTCCTTTACTTAGTAGTATGTTTTCAAGGTACAGCCATGTCAGAGCATGAATCAGTACTTCATTCCTTTTAAAAAGTAATTTATTATTTAACAATTTACCTATTTTAATGTAAATAATTCAGTGCATTTAGTATACTCACAATGTTGTACAATCACCAACCTCTTATCTAGTTTCAAAACGTTTCCATTACTCTAAAGTAATACTCCTTACCCATTAGGCAGTTTCTCCCCATTCCTCCTCCCCCAGTCCCTGGCAACCATAGATCTATACTCTGTATCTATGTATTGATCTATTTCTGAGAATTTCATTTAAATGGAATCATATAACATGTAACCCTTGGTGTCTGGCTTCTTTCACTTAGCAGAATGCTTTGGAGGTTCATCCATCTTGTAGTATGTATCAGCATTTCTTTTAATGGCTGAATAATATTCCATTGTATGGATATACCACAATTTGTTTACTCATTATCTGCTGATGAACATTGGGTTCTTTCCAATTTTTGGCTATTATGAATAATGCTGCTATGAACATTGATGTACAAGCTTCTGTGGACACATGTTTTCATTTCTCTTGGGTATATACCTAGAAGTAGAACTGTGGGGTCATATGGTAACTCTGTATTTAACCTTCTTAGGCACTTCTAGACTGTCTTCCAAAGTGGCTGCACAATCTTATCTTCCTACCAGCAATGTATATGAGCTCTAATTTCTCTGCATCCTTGACAATACTTGTTGTTGATTATAGCCATGCTAGTGGGTATGAAGTGGCCTCAGTGTGTGTTGTTATTTGTTTTAAAACCAAAGGTATCCATATATATAGTTTTAAAAGATAAGGTTTAAGTATAAATGCCCAATCCCACTCCATTCCCATTTCCATGAGGCAAATACTTTAAATTCTTTTATTGGTTTCTTCTGGTAATTATCTGATGTTTCTGATAATTGGCTTTCAAAAAAACCAGTTTCAAAAACTGGCTTTCAAAAAACCAGTTTTAGGGTTGGGTGTGGTGGCTTATGCCTGTAATCCCAGCACTCTGGGAGGCTGCGGTGGGCAGACTGCTTGAGCCCAGAAGTTTGAGACCAGCTTGGGCAATGTGGCAAAACCCTGTCTCTACTAAAAATATAAAAATTAGCCAGGCATGGTGGTGTGTACCTGTAGTCCCAGATACTTGGGAGATTGAGGTAGGAGGATCACCTGAGCCTGGGAGGCAGAGGTTGCAGTGAGCCAAGATGGCGCCACTGCACTCCAGCCAAGGCGACAGAGTAAGATCCTGCCTAAAACAAACAAACAAAAAGTCAATTTTAGATATTACCTCGAGTTCCAATTATGAGGATTTAGTCTTCTTATGTCCCCTCAATGTGCAAATACACATTCACTTTATCCTTCCTTCTTAACAATATTATTATAATATCCATTTTTGGTTAAATCAAGAATTGGCATTTATATTGTTATGACTATGCATTTATAGTCATGTGATGTACAAATATTATATTCACTTAATCATACTTTTCCCCCTTATATTCTAGATGACCTAGAAGGGAAAATTTGCTTTACTTAAAAATTTTCCTCAGTTTAATATGTACCAATTAATAGTTCATCTTCAAATTCTGTAAGAAAATGAAAAATCTCTAGATATATTCAAACATACTGTACATTCTACTATTTATTTCTTGTTTTTCTTTTGTTTAGCATGTATTCAGAACTTGATTAGTATTTGTTGAGTGAATGAATGGAAATATCTAGGTATAGGCCAAAGATTCTAGAGTCAGAAGAAAATTGAGAGATTACTTCCTCCCCACCACTATCCCTGCCTGGTTCAAAGCAGTAATGTAATTTAGAGGTGAGGTATCAGAGGCCCTGAGAGGTTACCTGACTTCATAACATGATAGCAAATTTTCAGGAGGAGCAGGGACTGGAACTCTGGTTTCCTAGGTCTTAGAGCCCCTCCTCTGTGTCAGGTTGCTGCCACAGAGAACAAAAGTCATTTATCCTGAAGGGAATGTAGACTTGGGATATTTATGCAATTTCCTGAAACTCAAAAATTCATAGCAGGTGCTAAGAATCCAAATGAAAGAATACAAAACAGTATCATTGAAATGTGAAAACCTTCTTAGTGAACATTGCTGTATTTAGTAATCTCAAAGTTGTAATCAGTCAGGATCTATGAAATCCAATCCTGCCACATGAAATTACTCTGAGAATCACAACTACAACTTGAACGAGGGCATTTCCAAGGCTAGTTTCTCCTAAATGTAGTCCCACGCCCAAACAGCGCATTTCCACATGACTGTTCTGTGGTAGGCAAGAGTTGTTTTTGTCTGGTCAGCATCCACTTCCCCATCCTCTGATATGAGTTCTCTTGATTTGTATCTGAAACCAGGGACAGGGACATGACATGAGGCAGGGTGGGGTGTGGAGTGGACCCACCTGAGCTCAGAGCCCGCTATCAGGAGAGCAGAGCTGACAGGGAGGGAGCCAGTGAGCAAGTGACCCGACTTGCCTGGTTGACACAGCTCAGACTCTGCATTCTGCTGTATCTTCACACTTTCCAATTATATGAACCAAATAAATCCTTTTTCCTGCATAAGCCTGTTGGAATTGTGCTTCTGGTGCTTACAACCCAAAGGGGTAGTGACTAACATGGACACTGAGAATAGGGGCTGAGCCACTTCTATGCATCCATGTAGGATTCTGAGGACCCCCTCATTTTACTTTCAGCAGGAGATGAATAGAGTCTTCTCACTTCAGGTCAGGACTTAAGTGTTAGTCTAATGGAGGATCGATTTCAGAACTAAGAATCCCCTCAAATTCAGGTTCTTGTCCTTGACAAAACAGAAAATAAACTAATAGTTTCAGAAATGACTAAATATGAAAAGAATACCAACACTGAGCACACTGTATCAAATATATGGTAAAGCACATTTTGAAAGGCAACCAAGATGTTAATTTCAGGTCGTATGAGCATTTCTTGCACTTGAATATTTTTCAAAGTACATTCACATCCAAAACTTTATCAGATCCCCTCAGCCTTCTTTTTTGATAATGACCCACTTTTTAAAGTCGCTTCTAAGCAAAAAAAAAAAAAAAATTTGTAAATAATTATCTATCAATTTCTTCTAAATAAAAACCCTAAAATGTTTATTCTTCCTCAGCTCTAGCTTACTCACTTTTCTAGTCAGCTTTTCTGAATTCTAACGCTAAACAAGCAATTTGTATTTCCCTAGCTTTAGGGGAACCATGAGTCTTTTTTCTAACTTGTTTCCTTTTCATTCCTGCTCTGTAACCATGGCTTGTCCACTTAGAAAATGTCTGTGTGGAGTCCATAGGCCTAATTTGAATCTCCAGCTTTGTCACGTAGTGGCAATGTGATCCTGTACAGGCTTTTTCTTCTGTAAAATGGAAATAATAATAATACCTGTCTCACAGAATTGTTTAAAGATTAAATGAGATGTATGCAAAAGGGACACAGCAAGCATGCAGTAAATGTTAGCTGCTACTATTTGCTGGTTAAAAGAATGTTCTCTTCTAACAGTGCTCCTTGCTGTTCATTCCACATGAGAAGCTTGTAAGACACAGCTATCTGTTCACTGTCTAGAACCTAAGCCCCATGAGGGCAGAGACTTTGCTTTATTTATTGCTATATCCCCAGCACCTATCATATGACTGGGACATGAATGACTGAATAAATGAATGAATATAGGTAATACAAGTGTAATTTTACTGGTATTCTGATCTTATGGGTGAGGAAACTGTCTCCGAAAGGTCAAGTGGCTTGCATAAAGTCCCACAGAGTTAGAGAGGGATTAAAACACAGTTCTCCTGCCTGGTTGTTCTCTTTTACCATATCACCTACTAGGCCTTTATCTCATTATCCAAAAATCCAGGTGCAGTATCTAACTAATTACTAAGTAACAATTTTCAAGGGCTAAAAATGATTTTTAAACTTTAAAACTTACCGTGGTATCCACAGCCTTGACTTTCTCCGTGGGAATGTGCTTTGGTTCAGGTTCTGTCTGTGACAGCAACACACATCCCTCAGCGCCTAAGGTAATGATTACCACCTGGCAGCCCCTTTTCAAGAGCACTAATGCAGCCTCCCCAGCATCTGCAGCACTGCCCACCGTGAGGCCAGTTAAAATCTCAGCCTGGAATATACAAAAGTCAACAGAAACAGTGGTGAAAATAAGTAACCTGGATCCACTTCCAGATTTGTTTTTCTAGAAAATGTCTCCCTTCTTTTTCATAACAATCAATGAAATGGGAACCTTGATGGATACTGGTACAGTAAAATACATAAAGCAATAACAATGACAACAAAAACTATAAAAGACATTCTTGGGACAACAGGGGAAACTGGAATGTGGCTTGGATATTAGATGATAGCATGGAATTACTGACAATCTTCTTAGGTGTGATAAAAGTATTGTGGTTCCTCTTAGGAGACATACGTCAAAGTATTCAGGGGCGAGGAATCATTCTGTCTGCAACTTACTCTCAACAACAACAACAACAAAATACTTTTCTCACTTACTTTTAATCGAAAACAAAGCTAAATACACATAGGGAGAGGAGATGCAAATACAGCAGAATGTTATCAAATGTTTAGGTGAAAGTGTTCATTCAGCTTTTCTGCACATATAATAATTTTAACAAAGAGTTAGGGGCAACAAAGAGAATTCTACCAAAAAAAGGCGGGGTGGGGGAAGGAAGGTTGGAGGGGAGGCAGGAAAGGAGAAAGGAAGGGATCACTGCCAATGATTTTGGTGTAAATTGCACCTGTAAGTTTGGCACCTAAGGGCATAATTCTTCCAGGTCTTTCTCGGGCCACAAAGTCTCTTCTCTAATTTCCAGTTTTTGCTTTCCAGTTTGCAGACTATTCGTTTATTTTGTTTGTTTTTGCCAGAGAAGATGGAAGCAGAGGAGAGGCACCGACAGGCAGCAGAAAAAGCAATGCCCTGGCATTCAGATCTTTCTGGCCTCAGCCTTGTGAGTAGCTGGGACTACAGGCAGCCGCCACCACGCCCAGCTAATTTTTGTTATTTTTAGTAGAGACAGGGTTTCACCATGTTGGCCAAGACAGTCTCAATCTCCTGACCTTGTGATCTGCCTGCCTCGGCCTCCCAAAGTGTTGAGATCACAGGCGTGAGCCACCATGCCTGGCCCTCAATGATTTTATAGTAGCATCCACCAGGCACATAAGAGTCTCTAAACCAGAACCAGGCATTGTATTGGCAATAGGGAGTTCCTGCTCTGTTGTTTCTGGGGCTACTGCCAGTCCAGTCACTAAGTGTCAGCGGTTGACTTGGTTTACTTCTTGGTCAGAGGCTGTGTCTTTGTCCTCCTATCTCCTCAGGTTGGGAGCCTTATATACGCTTCAGGCAGCAGGGGCAGCAGCTTCCTCCACCTGTTATTGTTAGCAGGGAAGCCACAGCCCAGCATGTACGGTTTCCATTTGTGGGCTTGGGTTCAGTCCCCTAGAAATGGCACACTTTTAGTGCCCATGGCCCACAGTGGGTGAACTTCCTACCACCTCTGCCTGTTTCTGGGGCTGTATAGCCGGCATATCCAGGGCTGAATGCTCTGTGAGGCCGTTCCATTTCTAATCTGTGGAGTTATTTATCTTGTTTTAGAGCTTGTATCTTTTCATTGTCTCCTTTAATATTTACTTATCAATGGTTTGTGTTTGGAGCAGAGTGAGTATCATAAGCATGAATTTACATTATTGCTGTGATTAGAGTTCATCTGTAAGAACATTAAGCTTTTAATGTTTTTCTTACTTCCATTAAGTTTCTGAGACCAATTTCCTTAAAGACCAGAATTCTGGCTGGGTGTGGTGCCTCACGCCTGTAATTTTAGCACTTTGGAAGGTGGGAAGATCATGCGGTCAAAAGATCAAGACCATTCTGGCCAACATGGTGAAACCCCATATCTACTAAAAATACAAAAAATTAGCCTGGTGTTGTGCACGTGCCTGTGGTCCCAGCTATTTGGGAGGCTGAGGCACAAGAATTGCTTGAGCCCAGGAGGTGGAGGTTGCAGCCAGCTGAGATTGCACCACTGCACTCCAGCCTGGCGACAGAGATTCCATCCCCCCAGCAAAAAAAAAGACCAGAGTTCTTTCATTTATTTATTTCATAAGCATTTGCTAAGTGCCAACTATGTATAGTTAATGTAGCAGATATTATTTTCCAAAGATAACCATATTAACTTATATCAGATCGTACATCCTGGTTTTACACTGTGCCAATGACAATCTTCTATAAAGGGGTGGGGTACTAGGGTGGACCTTCCTGCTTAAATCAATAGAATGAGTCAGAAGTGATGCTGTGTGACTTCTGAAGCTAATCACAAAAGCCAACATGGTTTCTGCCAGATGTCTCCTTCTCTTGGGAAGCTGGATCTTGAAACCCAGCCACCATATTATGAGGAAGCCCAAGTCACAAGTGGAGGCCATGTGTAAGTGCTCTGGCCAACAACCTCATTATGCCCCCAGCCAAAAGCCAGCATCAACTGTCAGGTATGTGAGTGAAGAAAACTTCCAGCTCTCAGCCTCTGTGTCTTCCAACTCAGGCCCCAGGCATTGTGCAGGAGAGTCAAACCATGCTATCCCCTGTGTGAATTCCTGATGCACAAAAGCTGGGAGTGGCAATAAATAATTATTGCTGTTGTAAGCCACTACATTTTGGAGGTAATTTATTAGGCAGCAATAGATAACTATATACACAGGGAGAGCCATCAGGGATACAACAGTGAATAAGACAGATGTCTCTGACTTCATGGAACTTGTAATTTAATGGGGAAGACAGAAGAATCGAATAAGTAATTTGAGCTGTGATGAACATTTGAGAAGTAAATAGAGTGCTCTTCAAGTATCTAGCAGGAAAGTTTAGGCCAGTTTAGTAGTTGAGGGTACTCTAACCTCTTATTGTGAAATGGTCACTATTTCCCACAATTCCTTCTTCCTAGCATGGTGGTTGCTCAAAAATATTGCATAACCTATTGTGGTTTGTTAAAATTAGTTTATTTGTAGCAGTCTTCTTTCTTATTTCCTCTATGTTTTGAGAGATGAAATTATCAAGAAAGCAGGTCAAGAAATCCTAGAAACCTTCATTCAACCTTTAAACCACATGGAAAATTAGGCTGTGCAGTGGCTCACACCTGTAGTCCCCGTACTTTGGAAGGCTGAGGCAGGAAGACTGATTTAGCCCAAGAGTTCAAGATTAGCCTAGGCAACATGGCGAAATCCCATCTCTACACAAAATTTAAAAATTAGCCAAGCGTGGTGGTCCCAGCTACTTGGGAGATTGAGGTAGGAGAATTGCTTAAGCCTGGGAGGTAGAGGCTGCAGTGAGGCATGATGACACCACTGCATTCCAACCTGGGTGACATAGTGAGTTCCTGTCTCAAAAACAAAAAATGGAAATTCAACTTTTACAGTTCATTAATTTCTTTCTCTCCATGTTACATTCACCAGTGTGTATACCTGCATCCCAATAATGGGAGAGAGCTCTGTTCTAATGCTGTCTGGATTATAAAAAGGGAGAAATATTACAATTTTCTTCCTAACAATACTTAAGAAAGGGTGGTACAATACCCTTTCTTATTGTACCAATTGATAGTCTGTTCAGATGTACACATCATGACACGGTCTTCACAACAGAATGTAGCAGATCCTCCAGGAGTTTTACACGGATTAGGGTTGCCAGATAAAATACAGGAAACTTAGTTAAATGTGAATTTAAGATAAATGACAGGTAATTTTACAGTATAAATTTGTTAGGTATGTTATTTATTATCTATCTGAAATTCAAATTTAACTGGGCATCCTGTATTTTCACTTGCTAAACCTGGCAACTCTAATATAGTCCGCAGAATATGAAATAATTAAAAAAGAAAACAAAACACCCATAGTGTGAGAGCAAGGAAGGGACTAAAATTAACTGAGGTTTGAAAAGTGCTAGAATATAGAAGTGACTCAGAGAATCCCTTTTTCCCCCTCTAGGATTTACTAATTTCCTTTTCTCCACACCCCAGTAAACTGAAAAAATCTGTTTTTACCATGCCTGAGAATTCACGTCATCAAATTGATGTGGTTAGTTCTGCCCCTTTGCTTTATCTACTTGCTCGAACTTTTGGTTTCTCACAGAATGACCAAAGCAATTCACCCTTACCTCACTTTCATTGCAGCAGAACACATTCGAGAGGGTGTAGAACCGGGGATCCAGGTCAGCAATGGCAGGGGCTGGATTGAACAATGTTTTCACTACAAAGGAATGGAAAAGGGGTTTATTATTGGTTTTCGTTTTTAGCACGGTGCATTTACAGACGTTTAGTAGGGAAAATCCCCAAGTTCATTTTTGTCTTCATTTGGTTAAATATCCACCTAGTTACAGATATAGAGAAAAGTCTGAAATCTCAGTTTCCACGATAGCCTGGTACCAATTCCTTATTTCCGTTTTCTCTACTTTGTACTTTACAACATTTCAGCTTCCAGGAAAAACAGCAATATTACAGTCAACATGATTATAGAGTTAAGGCAAAGGCAACAAGAATATCAGAGAAAAGCAAAAATGCTGTGGCATGAAAGGACATGTGTGAATGTGAACAGGGTAGTGGGCATTTTTGTGGGTTACTTTAAGTGCTTGGTTTCAAGGCTAGTTCATAAATCCATTTTCCAGGGAAGAAAAAGAGCTGATAGAAAAGAAACAATGAAGAGTTCAGAACGTTCCCGATGGGAATAGTAAGCACGAAGATCATGTGCATATGCATAGTTTGTACACCTATGTATGCCTCCCAAATATATCACCATTACTCCTGCAACATATGCACTTACACAAAAGCTTACATTCTCGGCTTCTGTGAGCAATCTGGGAATATAAAAAAAAAGATTGAGAAAGGAGGAGGAATTCAATCAGAGGCTGGTGCTAGCTCAGACTGAGGGACTACAAGAGAAGGATAGATGGGAAGAGGAGACACAGGGAAATGAATATATCACGGCCATTTTTCAGAGGGAGGAAAGTGAAGCTCAGAAAGATGAAGTCATATGTCTACGGTCATACACTGGACACAGTTAAACTGGACCCCTATCCAGGGGTCCTCTGGGTTTAAGTTCAGGATTTGGTCCACTCTAAAAAAAATGGTTTCTTTAGGCTAGGACTTTGTCCACAGCAACACACACCCCAATGCCAATTAACAATATTTTAAAACACCCTTTGGTTTGGAACTTTGTAATATGTGATACATATGTCACCCAAGTTGGAATATGTAATGTGATACATGTATATATATATGATATATACATGATATATTTGTATGTGTGTAGATATATATACATACATATATTTCAAGTCTTTAAAAATGACATTCACAGGAAGCTTCCTCTTTGTTATAGCACTTATTCACTTGAGTACTCAACTAGATTGGTTAGTCTTTTCTCAACCCAGGTCCACTGACATGCGTGTTAAGTAGTCTCATCAACTATAGACCCACAGTGTAAAATTCTCTAGCTGCAGTTCTCAGCAGTGGCTTACAAACTTGGGTGCATATCAACTTCACTAGGAGAGCTTGTTAAAATGCATAATTTCTAGGACTGACCTCAAACCCACTGACTCAGAATCTCTAGGAGTAAGATCAGGGAATCTGCATGTTCATAAGTTCTCCAGGTGGCTCTCACATAGCCAGCTGGGCACTAATCCATTCCACATTCTTGGGAAGAAGCTAATCAGCACATGGCTAATGGAAACCATCTGCTACTTTAGCCTGGTGAGGACATCTAGTCTACTTCTGCACCTTCCTTGGTTTTACCTAAAATTTTGATTCAGTCAGTGGGTCTTGTCCAGTATAGGCTAACACTATTCCCACATTTTTGTTATTTTAGAATCCAGAATGTCCACCCACAGAAATTCTATGGCATATTTTTGGCTGCTCAGGTTTTTGTATAGTGTTATTGTGCAGCTTAAATTAGAAAAAAGATGTAAAAGCCCAGTGTAAACTCTAAAGTGCTGTACAAATGTAAAGGATTATTACTGTTATTATATTGTCCTTTACACATAGCCCAACACCCCTGCCTGTCTACCCATCTCTTCTGCCTTCTGGAGTTTGTAGCCTGGCAACAGTATCGCTCATTGGTTCTCTCACTTCTCAGTGGTCTTAGAGATGTCAGTTACATATAAAGGATCTCACTGTCCAGTATTCTAACACACTCACTTAAACGTTTTAGGTTTTCAGAACAATATATCATTCCCAATGTTCCTCAAGCATTAAATGGAAACAACTGCTCGCCTAGTGTGATCCTCAAATCTACATTCATCAGCATTCGAGCACAGGTTAGAGCAAGCTACCAGTGTGGAACAACATGGTAGGAGCCATTCTTTTTTTTTTAATTTTTGTGTTTATTGTACTTGAGGTTCTGGAGTACATGTGCAGATCATGCAGGTGGAGCCATTCTTAAAAGATCAATTTTTTCCTGATCCTGCAATTCCTTTTCTAAACCCATCCGACAGAAATCATAGGCATGCAAAGATGATATACAGTGTTGTTTGTACAGCTCTTGTTTGCAACAGGAAACACAACAAGAAACCTACACATTTATCAAAGGGGATTAGTTTAAAACATTATGACATAAACCGGGCTTGGTGGCTGATGCCTGGAATCCCAGCGCTTTGGGAAGCTGAAGCGGGTGGATCACCTGAGGTCAGGAGTTCAAGACCAGCCTGACCAACATTGTAAAACCCTGTCTCCACTAAAAATACAAATATTAACCGGGTGTGGTGGCATATGCCTGTAATCCCAGCTGCTCTGGAGGCTGAGGTAGGAGAATCGCTTGAACCTGGGAGGCAGAGGCTGCAGTGAGCCAAGACTGTGCCACTACACTCCAGCCTGGGCAACAAAAGCAAAACTATAACATACATGTCTGATGTAACACACTACAGCTGTTAAAAAGAATAAAGTAGATCTCTGTTTGTCAGAGAAAGAGTTCTATAATTTATTTATAAATGAACAAGGCACTTTTGTACTGCACACCCACTCCACCCATCTTTTTTGAGATGGTTCTGTCACCCAGTCTGGAGTGTAGTGGCACAATCTCAGCTCACTGCAACCTCCAACTCCCAGACTTAAGTGATCCCTGCCCACCAGCTTCCCAAGTAGCTAGAACTACATGTATCTGTCACCATGCCTGGGTAATTTCCCAATTTCTTTCCCTCCTCTTCCCTCCCCTCCCCTCCCTTGCCCTGCCCCACTTCTCTCTCTCTGTCTCTCTTTCTTTTTGTTTTTTTTTTTTGGAGGTTTTGTCATGTTGCCCAAGCTGTTCTTGAATTCCTGGGCTCAGTGATCCTCACACCTTGGCCTCCCAAAGTGCTAAGATTACAGGTGTGAGCCACCATGCCCGGCCTACCCTCCCTTTTTAAAAAGAACAAATAACAAACATACATAACTATATGTGTATTTACATTTTCACACTTACATATAAGAAAAGAATGTCAGAGAGGTTACTCACTAAATTAATGAGCTACAGATTAAGTGCAGCATGCAAAGACATCACTCTTAAAACATATAGTATCTTACATCAAAAAACATGAATGAAATGATATAACATCTGAGTTTTGCTTCAACATAATCCAAAGTGGCAGTGCAGGGTAGGGAGCCATGAGGCAGGATACAGATAAACCAAGATTTTAGTGTAATAAAAACAAACAGTGGGGAAGACTCGCTATTCAATAAATGATGCTGGGATAACTGGCTAGCCATATGCAGAAGAATGAAACTAGACCCTTATCTTTCACCATATACAAAAATTAACTCAAGATGAATTAAATATTTAAATGTAAGACCTTGAACTATAAAAATCCTAGAAAAAAGCTTAGAAAATACCCTTCTTGACACTCTCATTGGCAAGGAATTTTTGGCTAAGTTCCCCAAAGCAACTGTAACAAAACCAAAAATTGACAAGTGGGACTGAATTAAACTAAAGAGCTTCTGGACAGCAAAAGAAATGATCAATACAGTAAATAAAAAACCTACAGAATTAGAGAAAATATTTGCAAACTATGCATCTGACAAAGATCTAATATGCAGACTCTATAAGGAACTTACACAAATCAACAAGCAAAAAACAAATAACCCCATTTAAAAATGGGCAAAGAACATGAACAGACATTTCTCAAAAGAAGACACATGAGTTGCCAACAAACATATGAAAAACTACTCATCATTTCATTCATCATTAGATAAATGCAAATTAAACCATAATGAAATGCCATCTCACATTGGTCAAAACAGCTATTAGTAAAAAGTCAAAAAACAACAGATGCTGTTGAGGCTGCAGAGAATGTAACTTAGTTCAGCTACTGTAGAAAGCAGTTAGGAGACTGATTCTCAAGTAACTTAAAATAGAGCTACCATTCAACCCAGCAATCCTATGCCTGGGTGCACACCCAAATGAAAACAGATCATTATACCAAAAGGAAACATGCACTTGTGTGTTCATCACCATGCTAGTCACAATAGCAAGGACATGGAATCAACTGAGGTGCCCATCAATGGTGGACTAGATAAAGAAAATGTGGCACACATACACCGTGGAATACTATATAGTCATAAAAAAGAATGAAATTGTGTCCTTGGCAGCAACATGGATGGGGCTGGAGGCCATAATCCTAAGCAAACTAACACAGGAACAGAAAACCAAATAGTGCATGTATTCACTTATAAGTGGGAGCAAAATATTGCACATACATGGACAGAAAGATGAGAACAACAGACACTACAGCGTACTGGAGTGGGAAGGGGCACAGCTTAAAGAGCTGCTTCTTGGGTACTTGGGTACTATGCTCCCTACCTGGGCACAATATTCCTATGTAACAAATCTGCATATGAAGGCCCAGCATGGTGGCTCACACCTGTAATCCTAGTACTTTTGGGGGCTGAGGCAGGTGGATCATCTGAGGTAAGGAGTTCAAGATCAGCCTTGTCAATATGGTGAAGCCCTGTGTCTATTAAAAATACAAAAATTAGCTGGGTGTGGTGGTACATGCCTGTAATCCCAGCTACTTGGGAGGCTGAGGCACAAGAATCACTTGAAACTGGGAGGTTGAGGCTGCAGTGAGCCAAGATTGTACCACTGCACTCCAGTCTGGGCAGGCAGAGTGAGATTCTGCCTCAGAAAAACGAAGCAAAACAAAAAACAAACAAAAACAAAACAAAAACAAGTCTGCACGTGTACCCCTGTATCTAAAATAAAAGATGGAATTTAAAAGAAGAAAAAAAAACTGGCCACGTGTTGATAAGTGTTGAAGCTAAATGATAGTATATATGGATTTAGCATACTATTCTCTGTATGTCCACATATAGTTGAAATTTACAATAAAAACAAATTTTAAGGAAATAATTACATTAAAATTTAAGTCTCAATTGCTAGAATAAGGAATTCTATAATTTTATTGTAAATACTGTTTAAGAATCAATCGTATTTGCCTGTACTTTACTGAGGGACAGCATTCTTCAATAGTAACAGGATACGTAGGCGTAGAGCCTGACTAGTAACTAAATTTAGGGGAAAAGTGTAAATGCCATTCTTCTCAGTTTGTGCTAGCACAAATGAGCATAAATATTCTACCATGACGAAAGAAACATGAATTAGTAGATGTAGTTAATCAAAGAAGAATGCAAATCTGTAACAGACGAGGTGGAAAACATGATGTCATCCTGGGAGCAGGCAGAGCTAGAAAGCACAGAATGTACCACAAAGTAACTTGGAGTTCAGAGGTGACTGGCAGCACCCAACAGTAATTATTATTAATTACAATGTCAGATGGACTAAACTCTTAGTTATCTTAACTGCATGTTAATAGATAGCACAATAATGTCAGTAAGGAACTGGTGAGGCCCGGAGGTGCAGTTGTATAGGTTACAAGGCAGGAAAATGAGGCAGAAGCTCTTTACGGTGTTGCCATGGAGGGCAGGGGCTGGACAGTTAGGAGGGCCCTAATAATTAGCTCAAAGAAACCAGGGAAGAAAATCACCCTAAATGAAGACACTGTGAGAATACTGGGATACTAAAAATACTGTCTTTGCTGAACATTACCCCAGAGACTCTTTTCTGTGACTTGAGCAGCAAAAATACTCAAAACTTGGGCTATGTACTGGACAATGTCATTGTGACAGTCCAGATGGCCAGAGAAGAAGTTTTGTTTGCCAAAGGCAGAAAGACTAAAGTGGCATTAAAAGGTATTTTGTATCATACTTAGAATTTAACTCTGGCAATTTTACAATCTCAATTATTTATCATTGTTCATGTACTATTCCATTTGTTTGGAAATGGATATAAAGACCAGAACCAACATGCATAATTTCATCACGAGCAGCTGCAGCACTGGCTCTTCAGTGGGCCTACCTCCTAGCATCGTGGCCTGATGAGGATGCGGGCTATATAGGGCTACTGATTTTTGGTGTTGTAGCTGCTATGTCTTTATTTATTTTTTTTGAGATGGAGTTTCGCTCTTGTTACCCAGGTTGGAGTGCAATGGCGCGATCTCGGCTCACCGCAACCTCCACCTCCTGGGTTCAGGCAATTCTCCTGCCTCAGCCTCCTGAGTAGCTGGGATTACAGACACGCACCACCATGCCCAGCTAATTTTTTTGTATTTTTAGTAGAGACGGGGTTTTACCATGTTGACCAGGATGGTCTCGATCTCTTGACCTCGTGATCCACCCACCTCGGCCTCCCAAAGTGCTGGGATTACAGGCTTGAGCCACTGCACCTGGCCCTGCTGTCTTTAAAATCAATGCCTTCATTTTGATAGAGACAGTTTCGAGACAGCATATTCAAAGATCTTTTCCTCTAGATTATCGTAACTGATATATTAGGATAATCTAGTTATACAATGTGTTTAATTCAAAATTCACTACTTGTAAGCAGTAAAAATGCAACTGTGATAATCATAGACGATGATGATGATGATGACTTTATCATCTTTCTTGAAGATGGAATAATGCTGATCAGCACATACGCAGCTTCCTGGGGCAAAGGGTAGGGTGCTCAGTGCTCAAGAGATCATTAAGCTCTGCCCACTCTGCTCTGGGATCAGTCCAAAGTGATGTGAAAGAATTCTGAGAGCTCTCAGCCCAATTCTGGTTTTACAGAAGAAACTGATGTCCAGAGAGAGAAACTGACTTACTTGACTGAGCTACCCCATTTGCTGATTAATTATGAATTTAAAGCCATATTTCATGATTCCCAACTCAATGCTCTCATTTCATTATACCACTCTTCTTGAATATGAGAATGATGATGCATCACACACACACACACACACACACACACTCACACAGACCCTCCTCATGGAATAGAATCTAAGCTGCATCTGGCTAGTATCTACCAAAAGGGACCAGGTGACTTGGCCAGAGAAAGCCACCTGACTGGAGGAGTTCTGAACAGATGAGTGTGTGTGCTTGTGTGCATGTGTGTACTTGTGAGTGTGTGTGTGTTTTCTATTGGGGTCACAGTGCTGAAAATACTTTAGAGCCTCTTCTCTGTTTCTTGAGCAGCAAAAACACACAAAGCTTGGGACATATGCTGGACAGTGTTAACACTTACAGACTTAACTATTCTAGAGATACTCTTCATAAAGGCTCAGTTTGCTGTAATCAATGGGTTGTGGGAGTTTAAAGAATGGTCTAGGAGACAGAACTTGGGTCTTAGAGTCTGAAATCCTGGTTTCCTCGACTTAAAGTGGGACACTGGTTGAACAAATTACTTAACCTCTCAGTCTTAGTCTTCTAACCTTTAATCTGAGAGAACAATGCCTGCCCTATCTTTCACATGAGGTTTTTCTGAGGAAAAAATGTGTAATAAAGTATTTTATAAGCTGTAATGTACATGTAAATGCATGGTATTACTATTTGTGATATTATTATATAACACCATTCATGCAGAATTAATACCTAGGCATGCTGGCTCTTAGTGAAAGTGTGAAGTAGGCCAAGTACTCTGTGGCCCTTTATCACCTACCCACATTCCTGCTGCCCCAGGTCCCCCAGCTCCCAACTGGAAGAGCTGCATGGAAGGGGATGGAGGAAGCCTTTCTGGACCCCACCCAATGACAGCCCCAGGGTAGGCTGCCTGCCCATCGGGATTACTCTAGTCTCACCTGTGAAAGGTTAGATCCTCAACTGTGGCTGCTGTACCTTTCTCTCCTCCACAAGCTGGGTAGATAACAGGCAACTAGACTAGGACAGAGGAAACAGTGATCTCTGAGCAGCAAGGGATAGTAGGAAAAAAAGAGAAGTTACACAAGAATATGCTTTGATCTATACAAAGACAAGAGCAGGAGCAGGGTGGCACACTGTATTCACATCACTCGGCTGAGATGAACACAGTGCAGAGAATGCGTACCATAAGCATTAGACTTTACTGTGACACTCTGAGAAAATGTAACCAAATGGGTTTTGGCTTAGAATTCTTTCTGACAGCTTCAAGTCCATTAAAAATACACTAAATGTCAGTGAAAATTTACCACAGCATGTTGTTTTGCCAAGAGGAAAATTTGTTAAATCAGGAGGAACATTTAAAAATTCTCCACAAAAATCATTTCAGTGACTTATTTTTCATTTATTTCTATGTAGTACACTACACACTTTGGGAGAAATCACTTATATAAACACACACACACACACACACACACACACACACACACACACACTATTCCTTTTCTTTTTAGTTTTGTATCTTGCGAAAAAGTCAATATGGTTCTCTATTTTATTTTTTTAAAAAATCACAGAATTATTGCCACAATATCAAGAAGTCCTCATGTTAGAGTGGCTACTATTTATTTTGATTTTTTCACCAAATGATGCTTGATCAGGACATTATCCTAATTTTAATTTAAAGAGAGTAGTAGATGGAAGAGAAAACATTGGGACTTACCGACATGTACTATACCATGCCTGCCATCATACTTTATTTTATTCCATCCTTAGAACAATTCTGCAGATAGGAGTGTTTCTATCTGCATTTTACTGACAAAGCTCAGGAAAATCAGGTAATTCTGCTAGGACCATGAGGCTGACAAGGGACAGAAATGCGATTCTAATTCAGAAGATACTTTCACCACTAGTCAGTGGTAAAAATGAAGCAAAGAAATTATCTGGATTTTTAAAAAGTCTGTTATTTGCTGGAGGCGAGAGAAGAGGAATAAATGGGAGAACAGATGAATCGAGATTAACTATAGGTTGATAACTGTGAAAGCTGGGTGATAGATTTCATCGTACAATTCTGCCTGCTTCTGTAGGTTTGGAAGTTTTCACAATCAAAGGTTAAACAAAAGGGGCAATGTCAATGGACACTAATAACACAGAAGATATTACATATAAATAATCTTTTGTTGTTTATTGAAAAGATGATAAAGTTTTACAAAAAGGAGAAAAAAACTATCTTCACTTCCTAGAGATGTTTATCAAAAAGTAACTGGGCTGCCCCAGTTACTTTTGTATGTATGTCTGTATGTCTGTATGTATTTGTATGTATAACATGCAGCTTAACCTCTGCTTCTCAGAGTAGAAAACATTTCACCACCTAAAGTTAAAGTGTACCTTTAACAAGGAGCTGCTTCAGGGATTCTAACTCTGTACCATTTCTGCCAATTATATTGAAGAGTTATATTGAGGGATCTCGGAAACGCTACTCATTTTTTTTTTTTTTACCCTGTTTGTAGGGTTTTCTAACATGATCGAGAACCACAAGACTGTGAATCTAACAGATGGAAGGAAGAATATTTTACTACAGAAAGAGCATTGCTTTGCTTAACTTAAAAGGTTAACTTTAATTAAGACAGCGATAAAAGTTTTCATAGAAAGAATGACAAATATGTATAATTACCTCCACTCCTGTGGGCCATTGTTAGGGCTTCCAAAGAAGTCGCTGGAGTTATTTCAAGCTGGCAGACCATGACTTTGGCTCTGCTAATGATATTGGCAGCTGCCCTCAGGTCCTCCGTATTCAAAAGTAAATTTGCTCCAGCCACTATGACGATGATATTCTGGCCTATAAGAAAATTCCACCAATTTATATTAAAACTAAAAAAGAGCCAAGCAATGATACAGTGTTATTAATACAATCACCCTTGCAAAATCATCATACAAAATGTGTTGTATCAATTTTAACATTTCTAGGTTATTCAGCTTGAATTCTGAGTTCCAAATGTAACTTTTATATCTCTGTAAGACTCACATTATTCTGATCACCTTAAGTAAAATCTTAAAAAGACTTCCCCAATATTCTTATATACAAAGAATATTAGTTGATAAATGACATATAACATACTTTAAAAAGAATTTTTTTTTTTTTTGAGATGGAGTTTCAGTCTTGTTGCCCAGACTGGAGTGCAATGGCACAATCTTGGCTCACTGTAACCTCTGCCTCCCGGGTTCAAGCAATTCTCCTGCCTTAGCCACCTAAATAGTTGGGATTACAGGCATGTGCCACTGTGCCCAGATAATTTTGTACTTTTAGTAGAGATGGGGTTTCTGCATGTTGGTCAAGCTGGTCTCAAACTCCCGACCTCAGGTGATCTGCCCACCTTGGCCTCCCAAAGTGCTGGGATTACAGGTGTGAGCCATTGCGCTCAGTGAAAAATTTCTTTTGTGGAAAATATCTGGTATATGTATGTGGTAACAATTCTGAATCCTAAATGACAGATGCCATAGAGATGAATATAAATAGGAATAAACTTGTATGACACTGTAGTATGCAAGCAGTTCATGTGCGTACCCTATGGTATTCTAAAAAGTGATTCTGTCAATCAAAACACATTTTAAATATCTAATAGATAGAAAATTGTATCAGATATAGAAGAGAGGGGATATCTAGCCTATACCGTAATGAACCAAAGAGAAACAGAACAAAGGAATTTTTTTTTTTTGAGATGGGAGTCTCGCTCTGACGCCCAGGCTGGTGTGCAGTGGCACAATCTCAGCTCACTGTAACCTCTGCCTCCTGGGTTCAAGCAATTCTCTTGCCTCAGCTTCCCGAGTAGCTCCATCACATCCAGCTAATTTTTTCTATTTTTTTAGTAGAGACGTGGTTTCATTGTGTTGTCCAGGCTGGTTGCGAATGCCTGAGCTCAGGCAATCAGCCTGCCTAGGCCTCCCAAAGTGCTGGGATTACAGGTGTGAGCCACCACGCCTGGCCTTGATATATTCTTATTACTTGGACCCGCTGTCTATAATTCCACCTAAATGAGAGAGGGTGGTGGTGCATTTCCTCTGGAAGGTGAACTCTTAAGAGCTGTGCTGCCTAATATGGTAGTCATGAGCACAAGCTACACATGGCCATTGAACACTCGAAATGTGGCTAGTCCTGGCTGGGCACAGTGGCTAACACCTATAATTTCCAGCACGTTGGGAGGCCAAGGTGGACAGATCACTTGAGGTCAGGAATTCGAGACCAGCCTGGTCAAATGCGAAAACCCATCTCTACTAAAATTACAAAAATTAGCCAGGCATGATGGTATGCACTTGTAATCCCAGCTATTGGGGAGGCTGAGACATGAGAATCACTTGAACCTGGGAGGCAGATGTAGCAGTGACCTGAGATCACATTACTGTGATCTCAGTCTCAAGAAAAAAGAAAGAAATGTGGCTAGTCCAAACTGAGTTGTGCTTTAAGTAAACTACAAGTGGATTTCAAAGACAGTACAAAGGAAATAAGGTATAAGGTATAATATCCATTAATTCTTAACATTTTAAAAATTAAAAAAATAAGATAAATTTTGGAGTCTCACTCTGTTGCTGGAGTACAGTGGCATGATCTTGGCTCACTGCAGCCTCCGCCTCCCAGGTTCAAGGTACTCTCCCACCTCAGCCTCCCAAGTAGCTGGAATTGCAAGGGGTGCACCACTATGCTTGGCTAATTTTTTTTTTTTTTTTTTTTTGCATTTTTAGTAGAGACGGGGTTTCACTATGTTGCCCAGGCTGATCTTGAACTCCTGACCTCAGGTGATCCACCAACCTCGGCCTCCCAAAGTGCTAAAATTACAGGTATGAGCCACCATGCCTGGCCAAGATAAATTTTTGATTATACACTAAAATGATAACAGTTTGGACATATTGGGTTAAATATATTGCCTAAGTTAAATTTACCTGTTCCTTTTTACTTTTAAAAATGTGGCTACTAGACAATTTAAAATTCCACATGTGGCTTGCATTTTATTTGGTTTTATTTAAAGGTATATTGTACTTTAGGTTTGCATTTTATTTTTATTGGACAACACTGATCTGGAGGAATGAGTTGCAGCAGGCATTTTCTGTGCTCCAGGTTGCTCGTGCTGATGTTGTATAGACATGACCTAAAATCACCTCTCAACACAGAACAAATTCTATTCTCTCATCTTACCACAGATGTGTTTGTTGGCCATGAGGAAGACTTAATAAAGTGGGGATGGTTCAGCATAAACCTAACCTCAGTCTTGGAAAAATTCAGAGAACCACTTGCTGAAAGATAGCATTTCTCCTTCAGTGACCTCATTCTCTGCTGGAGTCAACTGCTGCTTCCATGCTGCTGTCTCCCAGATCCAAATTTTTGGACTGGCCTTAGCTGCTGAGCAATAAGCCCAAGACTATAGCTGTCTGATGGACAATGCCATATGGCTAGCTTGTTCATGCCTCGAATTTAACTTATCAAAACTAAACTCACTATTTTATCTTGCAAACTTGCTCCTTTGTTTAAAGGAGCTGATTGTCCCATCTCTATGTATTTGTCCTAATTCTTCTATCATCACCTATAGTCTTGAGGGCATTACTGTATATGGTAAACAAGGCAAGGTCTACCAAAGTAGACACTCAGCACACACTATTACATTATATCTTTGCATGGAAAATGCAGATTTTGATTCACAGATAAGAAAGATAACTTGAGGATATTCCTAGAACAGTAACAACAACAACAACAGCAACAACAAAAGAGGTTTAAGACAAGGAATGAGCTGTTGTTGGCAGGAATAATTTCTTAAAATGTAGCTTAAATGAACACAGGCTTTCTATAGTTAGAATGAAAACTTTAATCTACCACCTCTAGGTGAAACATATTATTATTGCAATTTGGAATCACTAAAGTTGAGTTAAAAATACTGTATTTTATGTGAGAAATGATCTTGCAATACTGCATTATAAATAAAAGACACATTATGACAAATCCTAATTTAACACAATGCACACTGTCCACAACACATGAGATTCTGGCAACACTGCATTATAAATAAAAGACACATCATGACAAATCCTAATTTAACACAATGCACACTGTCCACAACACATGAGATTCTGTCCAAGGTGCCCCATGAAATGCTTGGTCCTTTTGAATATTGATTCTGATTTTAAAAAAATCTCATATAGGTGTTTTTATAATTAAAACAGTTGGCAGAAATTATGAAAACTTGACTTGAAGGTTGTTATTTTATAGACAGAGTCATGCTCTGTCGCCTAGGCTGGAGTGTAGTCGCACCATCTTAGCTCACTGCAACCTCTACCTCCGAGTTCAAGCGATTCTCCTACCTCAGCCTCCTGAGTAGCTGAGATTACAGGCATGTGCCACCAGGCCTGGCTAATTGTTTTTTGTATCTTTAGTAGAGGCGGGGTTTCTCCATTTTGTATCTTTAGTAGAGGTAGGGTTTCTCCATGTTGAACTGGCTGGTCTTGAACTCCTCCTGACCTCAAATGATCCACCTGCCTTGGTTCCCCCTAAGTCCTGGGATTACAGGCATGAGCCACCGCACTCAGCCATTGTTTTCATTCATTCATTTGTTCACTCATTCATTCATTTATTTAGAGTCAGGGTCTCACTCTGTCATGCAGGCTGAAGTGCAGTGGTGGGACTGTGGCTCACTGCGGCCTTGAACTCCTGGCTCAAGTGATCCTTCTACCTCGGCTTCTCAAAGCACTGGCATTACAGGTGTGAGCCACTGTGCCAGGCCCAATTACTATTTTAAAAGATAAATGGCAAAGCCTTGTGGCAGACTTAGTTGTATATATAGACTTTTGAGATTTGATTGCTGTTGAAAGAGCAGGCAAAATTGAACACTAACGATAAGTTGGATGTAATTCGTTGCTGCTATTTGCTCAGAACATATTCTATAAATATGACTCATCAAACTTTTCTTTGCACCTATTTACATTTATTTACCTAGGATAACTAAAATGACAGATGAATGCTTGACTGCTTTTAGAGACAAATGTCAATTAAAAGTTTACATGAAGGGTAATGGGGACATTAGAGCATATACATATTATTTTGAGGCAACTTCATATATAGTGGGTAGACAGTTTTGAAAATTGTGTGAAAATTGATCTGAATGATCAATGTGAGAAGTATAAATAAAGGAAAACACATTTATATTTGGATTGGAAAAAGTATGTGTTAGGCCTTGGAGTGGTGGGTATAGTAAGAGGTCCATAGAATCATGGTAAAAATGGATGCTTCCGATCTAGCTCTGGAAATAAACTGTCTTATGAAATAGCACTCCAATATGCAAAACACTTACCTTCATTATTGACAATTATAGAAGCAGTTCCTGTAGCAGCATCTTTAGTCTGATATGTAAATTCTGAAAGAAAAAAGAAAATTACAATCACATGTATACAGACTGACATGGATAATTTATTTTAACAATTTCAATACAAGACTAATACTTGGAAAAACTTTTTAACCTTTAACCATCTGGAATGATAAAAAAATAAGTAATTAGTGCTAATTTATACCCATCATTTATACAAGAAAAATAGACAGCTTTATATTTAGTTGTACCTTTTCTCTGCATTAGTAACAACCTACCAAACTGCTCTACTTTCAATTCCAATTATTCATTAATTGTATACATATGCATTTTTCTAGACCAACACACTTACGTTCTTCATTGAAAGGAATATCAGAGTTGAGATAAAACCTATAAAATGTAAAGGTCAAACCTATAAAATGAACTTGTCTGATTATTTTCATTCTCATAAGCTTGGTATTTCACCAAGAACCAAGGTCTGACATATAAACAGAAATGCTGACCAGGCAGCCTTTGGTAGCAGCAAAGAGCCCTGAACTGGAGTCAGAAGATTCTAGTCCTGGCTCTAGCTCCAACCGTGTGTTTTTGGAAAAATCACAGAACATCTCGGGCCTTCAGTTTTCTCTTCTGTGAAATAATGGTATCAGCCTCTATGGCTTCTAATGATTGTTTTCAGCTATAACGTTCAATGACTTTTCTTAAAACATCTTTTGTGAATGCAGCACCTTTTTCTCCTTGTCATTTGTCACATATCCGTGAGATAAAGGTTTGTAAATTCCTATAATTTTATTCCCATCTGGAGGAATGTACATGGAAGAATCAACCAAAGGACATTTAAGCAAGAATGGACAAACCTGTACATAAAAATTCTCTGGCCAACAGGGTAAGGTCTACTAATTCTCTAGATTCAATTTTTCACGTCACAAAATCACAGAAAAAAAGCTGTAAACACCAACTTTAAAAAAGATGGGAATTTTACCTGTAGAAATATCATTCTGTTTTAAGTTTTCTATATAATCATTGCCAAAAGAATCTCTGCCAACCTGTACCAAAGAAATAATGAATATTAGATCTTTTATAGTTAGTAAAATGCTACAATGCAGGTTTTAGAATACTTAGCATTTTAAAAGGGCATATCTGCACAGTACTTTATAAACATTAACTAATTAATCTTCTTAATATAAGATGCTAGACTTGATTGCAGCCCATAGAATTGTTATACAATAATGTTTCACTTATAGCCTATTTAAAATGTGAAGTACTTAATGAATGTCACTCATTAAGTCATTTTCATTTTTAGCTGTTTGTGTGATTATTCCCATGGAGATGGAGTTGTCTACCATCTTCAACCCTCAATATTTGTAAAGAATCTTAGCTGTTTGTACTTCACTGTAAATATGAGCATCCTTGTCATGACTTGCCTGATGTTCCAGAATCTTCTTATCTTCTCCTTTGACACTGACATGTCGGAGCAAAGAGAAGGAAATTTCAAAGGCCCTAGCTAACTTGGGTAACTTGATATAACGGAATTCTGTTTTTGCATCCTAGCATCTATTCTGTTAAAGGTATTTCCATTTTTCCTTTGGACACCCATTTCTGTCCCACTCTATGGACAACGTGATTAGGTTGAACAAGGGACCCAGGCCTGATTAAAAAGTGGGTTTCCTGTAGTCCTTGTTACTTGGGAGGCTAAAGCAAGAGAATCACTTGAACCTGGGAGGCGGAGGTGCAGTGAGCTGAGGTTGTGCCACTGCACTCCAGCCTGGACAAGAAAGCAAGACTCTATCTCAAAAAAAAAAAAAAAAGGGGGGGCGTCTCACCAAAAAAAGGGTGTCTTACCACCCTGGTCACAGTGATGGGTTCATGAATGGGCATGTGACTTAAATTAGTCCAATAAGACTCAATCCTGGGACTTTTCTTGAAACTACCAGGGAAGACAAGTTTTATTCCCAGTAAGATTGCTGGTTGTAAAATAATGTAAGCCTGCAGCTACTGGGGCTCACCACGTGGAGCCAGCTAGAAAGAAAATAGAGAAACATAATAGAAAGCAGGAAGATGGCAGACACAAACAGACACAGACTCCTAATGGACCCCTAAGCCTCTGAAGCCAGCTCTACCATTGGACTTTTCAGTTATATGAGGCAATACATTCTTTTTTAAACAGTTATTTATTTATTTATGCTTAAGCTATTTTGAATTGGGTGTCTATTGTCTATTAATTAAAACGTCCCGACTAGCTTCAGGCGGGGCACAGTGACTCACACCTGTAATCCCAGCACTTTGGGAGGTGGAGGTGGACCAATTACCTGAGCTCGATCACCTGAGGTCAGGAATTTGAGACCAGTCTTGTCTCTATTAAAAATACAAAAATCAGCTGGGTGTGGTGGTGCATGCCTGTAGTCCCAGCTACTTGGGAGGCTGAGGTAGAACCACCTATAACCAGGAGGCAGAGGTTGCAGTGAGCTAAGATAGTGCCACTAACTAGCCTGGGTGACAAAACAAGACTCTGTTAAAAAAAAAAAAAAAAAGTCCTGACTAGCTTTAAAACTAGTTAGCCTAGAAATACAGATCTCCATTAAAAAAAGAAAGGAAAAAGCTAGTTAACCTAGTGCCTAGTGTAACCCTGAACCACTGAACCATAATTTAAGTAGCTGTGTTTGTGCCTGGATCCTGTGACCACACTCTTGCTTTCTAAAGGTCCACTTCGGTAACTGGATCTCTCCCTGTTTCTGTCAGCATGAATGAGTACCCTAATCGTCTGTTAAGCCCTCTTGCTCTTTCAGAACAGGCACTCTTCTCTACCTGGCCAGCCATTTGCAGGGGCCAGACCTTTAGGTCTGTGGCTCAAAGCCAGAAAGCTATGATTGCAAGGCTTTTGATACCAACTGCTGGCATCCTACCAACAAATCCCTACTGTCCGTTTCTGGCCTCCGTGGCGCTGCAATCACTGTACAAGTCAGGACCCCCCTGCTATCTTTTCCCATACCTCTCTAATGCTAACCACTTGTTTGGCTGCTACCTTGGCTGGATCTTGGCTTGAATTCTACAGTTGAATCTATAGCGGAGGTTGTAAAGTGATGGGTTGAAAGTTGAATGTGACTCCTAGATATGTTTTGTCTGTCCTATTAGTTTTCTAAAAAATAGGCTTTAAAAACTAGTTTCAGGTTCTCAGCATAAGTGAGTAGAAAGTACAGAGTGCCCATATACTCTCTGTCTCTCCCTGCAACTAGTATCCCCCACTATCAACATCCTGCAACTAAGTGGTACATTTGTTACAACTGATAAACCTGCATGACACATCATTATCATTCGAACTCCACAGTGTACATTAAGGTTCACTCTTGGTGTTGAATATTCCACAGGCTTTGATAAATGTAAAATGTCATATATCCACCATTATAGTACCATACCCTAAAAATCCTCTGTGCTCTGTATATTCATCCTTCTCTCCCAACTAGCCTATGGTAACCACTAATCTTTTCATTGTCTCCATAGTTTTGTCTTTTCCAGAATATCATACAGTTGTAATCACACAGGATGTAACCTTTTCAGATTGGCTTCTTTCACTTAGTAATACATAACTAAAGTTCTTCTGTCTTTTTTTTTTTTTTTTTTGAGATGGAGTTTTGCTCTTGTTGCCAAGGCTGGAGTGCAATAGCATGATCTCAGTTCACTGCAACCTCTGCCTCCTGGGTTCAAGCAATTCTCCTGCCTTAGCCTCCCGAGTAGCTGCGATTATAGGCATGTGCCACCACACCCGGCTAATTCTGTATTTTTAGTAGAGTCGGGTTTCTCCATGTTGTTGAGGCTGGTCACGAATTGCTGACCTCAGGTGATCTGCTGCCTTGGCCTTCCAAAGTGCTGGGATTATGGGTGTGAGCCACTGTGCCCGGCCTCCTCTGTGCCTTTTTGTGCCCTGATAGCTACTTTCCTTTTAGGGCTGAATAATATTCTATTGTTTGGATGCACCTGAGTTTATTTATCCATTTACCTACTAAAGGATGTCTTCCAAGTTTGGGAAATTATGAATAAAGCTGATAGAAATATCTGTGTGCAGGTTTTGGTATACATGCCCTGCTATTTTGTTTTGAATTTTAATCAGTTCTCAATATTTACATATTAGAAGACTTCGCAAAAACAGATTTCCAGGAGGTTCTGAAAATTCAGAGGTTCTGGTAACACTGGGTCCACATTCCTGCAGGGCAACCCTGGAACGGAGAGGTGAGTATCTTAAAGTAGGCATAGGCTCTTGACTTCATCACAGTCCCTATCTAACATACTGCAATTTCTGTTACCTGCTTGGCTCCTGCAGGCCTGCAGGCTTGCCACCTCTGAACTGTCCTTCTGAACTGAACTTCTGTTTTTCTGTCCTGCAGGTGAGCATTACTTCAATGGACTATGTCTCTAACCAAGTTTTAGTCGCTCCTGGTGTTTTCTATTCTTCCACAGAAAACTGTTCCTTTCTGGATATATCAGTAGAAAGAAACCTGTCTGTTTTCTTACCATCATTTCTGAGAACTTAGATTCCTTTGCCCTCTCATCCACCAAATCAAACTTCACTTGTTTTTCAAGTATCAACTTAGGGTCTACCTTCCCTAGTCTGGCCCTTGTTAATCCTCTCATCTCCTATAATACTCTCATAACAGATCTCCTGTAAGATTCCTAATCAAGCCCATAGTTCAATACCATCTTATATTGTTGGCAATTTCATATTTGTTAGTCTAGTCATCTTTTTTGAGATGGAGTCTTGCTCTGTCACCAGGCTGAAATGCAGTGACGTGATCTGGGCTCACTGTAACCTCTGCCTCCCAGGTTCAAGCAATTCCCCTGCCTCAGCCTTCTGAGTAGCTGGGACTATAGCTACTTTGTTTTTGTATTTTAGTAGAGATGGGGTTTCACCATGTTAGCCAGGATGATCTCAATCTTCAGACCTTGTGATCCGCCCATCTCAGCCTCCCAAAGTGCTGGGATTATGGGCATGAGCCACCACACCTGGCCAGTCTAGTCTTCCTAAAAGCTTACTGGAGACTCTTTAGGATTTAATCATACTAGTTGTCCTTCTGTTCATTTTCCTTGGACCCATCTTGTAGTCATGGTGGTCATGTTTCATTCTTCAAGGAACATGACTACAAGCACCCAAACTATTCTAGAATGGTTCCATACAAGGTTTTCTTTCCAACAGCCTCTTTGAAGGCACCCTCACATTCTGTTGGCTATAGCAGTGAAATACTTTTGGGCAGAAAGATTCTTGGAAACCTACATAGTCTGAGATAGCCTGTCTGTGTGAGCCTGTTCCATATGAAGGAAGCCTGGTCAAGAGCAACTATGGAGAAGCACTTGCACATAAGCCAAGGCAACTCTCAGAACTCATATGCTCTTTGGAAATCCCAGACTCACTTCTGCCCTGAATATTGTAGAGTAGTCCCATCCAGCAGAACTTTCTGCAGTGATGACATGTTCTATATCTGTGCTGTCCAATAAAGAAAATGGTTTCTATTTGTTCTGCCCAATACATATACTCAAAATACAAACTATGTGACTGACGAATTCAATTTTTAACTTTGATTTCATTTAAATCTAAATATTCACATGTGCCTAGTGGTTTCTGTATTTGGCAATGCAGCAAGGGTATGGAAAGCAAAAAGGGCTGAGTGTATGAGGAACAACAGCATTTGTTCCAGCTAAGGGTGCTGAAGTGCTTCTTTTACTCTTACCACTGGGAGGGCTCCTTCTGCACTGAAGGAGAGCTTTGGCATGGCTTCCAGAGTCCAGAACTATGACCTGAAGCTGAGGAGGGCAACTTCAGTCAGCACCATAACTTCTATTTTGCAAAATGATTGAAGAATGGTTGTTTAGGCTGCTTGGAACCTTCAAATGGCAGAAACCGTCTAGTAATTCTACTCTTCAACATACATTTGGGGGTGAATAAAACATAGGAGAGCAAAATATCCTAACCAAGGCCACATGAAACCAAATATTCGACTCAAGGAGTTATCACATATATTAAAACAGGTTACCAATTTTCAAAGCATTAGAATACAGA